TATCAGGACAATAACTCTGAAAGATATTACAGTGACCTTTATTGAAGACACACGAGATAACCAAGTGTGAACAGCCTCTGTCTCCTTAAAAAAAACAGACAACCGACGACATCAAAATATGAAACTTCCATAAGTCTTGTCCATGAGTGTAGTTGCAGGGTGTCAACCGTAACGTACCAGGACACATGGATCCTGTGACACATTTCTGTGACAAGGTGACAAAGAGTTTAGCCCTCGCTATAAATATATCTATCCCACGTGTTGGACTTTTAAGTAAAATGTAAAATTCACCTTTAAAATGTCAAACATTCATACATATATTTACCGTCTAAAAGCCAGACATATTTACATAAAAAAGTGTATGCACATAATATCTCCTCCGATCTAATATTTATGTCATGATGGGAGGAGATATTTTAAATATGGCTGAGGACATGACGGCGACCTTTTTAACAAACACTCTCCATAACAAGTATGTTGGGGGGAAACTTTGTCTATATGTTATAAATATTTTATTTGATTTTTGTAAAAATATATTGTTCCAGGACAACTCTGTGAACCGCCAGATAACGCCGTTTTACCTTATATAAATATATTGTTGTTGTTCTTTGGCCAAACCTGCCTCTTCCCTAACGGAGATCCTGTCCCTAGCCTCCCCAGCCTGGTCATAGTGGTTTTATATATTCCGCTTTACGCGGCCATTGGGGCTCAAAAATCATTTGTTTTGGTTAGCAGCCCCGTAAATAAAGATATTTGGCCTGCATTTTGTAGATATGTAAATAGGTTATCTTGTATGTTCTTCCTTCTTTATGCCACAAGTCAGGTATTTCAATTATTTTATTATAGATCAATTATATCGAATAGTGATAATAGTTGTCTTATTATATTTGTCTATGATGTCTGCATACCATTGGCATAATACTCATGTATTATAATATTACTAGACGAATGGCCCGGGCAACGCCCGGGGTTTACCCGAGTGCAAATATATTCTAAAAACGTTGACTTGGGTGGTCGCTATTAACAGGGTGGTCTGTATAGACAGGTGGATGTATCACACAGCTGATAACAGGGTTGTCTAGAGTGGTCGCTATAGACAGGGTGGTCTGTATAGACAGGTTTATGAGAGAGGCACAAACTTACAGGTTGTTGACGCCGCAATTCCCAGAGAGAGTGTTTTTTGTTGCATCATGCTGTGACTCACACGACGACCCAAGGTCAACAGGGGTGGAGCAGCAAGCTTAGGCCTATCACCGTCTGGCGGCGCTGCTTGCGAGTTATATCTACAATTCTGCAAATAACTCTAAGGATATTCAAGATATTCAAGAAATTATTTTTCGAAAACCTTTCCGGGGATATACCTAATAATATCCCAGAATTTCATGGCGATTGGATGTATGGTTTTTGAATAACAGGGTTGTCTAGAGGGGGGCAGGGAGGACACGTGTTCCCTTGCAGCCAATGAGCGCGCATTCTATCCGTGAGCTTCAGACAAACAGACAGAATAAGGCAAATATATAAGTAGATAAAATAAATGAAGCTTCCCCCCCAGGATTAAGTTTCTTGTGCAACTTTTTATTTTCAAGCTTTCGGACTTGTCAGTCCTTCAAAACACACAGAAATAATGTAAATATATATTTTTCCTCTCAATATATAATAAGTATTTAAAATATGTATATAATAACGTATATATAAAAAATGTATTTATTATTAATTTATTAACGTGATAATCCTGTTGAAGGACTGACAAGTCCGAAAGCTTGAAAATAAAAAGTTGCACAAGAAACTTAACTCTGGAAGCTTCATTTATTTCATAATAAAACTCCTGTATTGCAATTTGCTAATGATTCCTATATCTCTTAATATTATTATATCTATATATATATAAATCAATGTTTGTATGTTTGTTTGTTTGTATGTCCGGTATACAAATTCGCAGTAGTTCACTAATTCAAACCAAAATTTCCATACATAGGTAAAAAAATACGGGGAAGACGATAGGCTATTTAAAAAATATATATAAATGTCATAATTTGTATATCATTATATGCACCCCGACCCACTATGCATGTACAATGTATGATTTTCAAAGATTTAATAAAGAATAAGGTAACTGGAGGAAAGGAAGTAGCAACAAGACATAGGAAGCCGGCTAAAAGCGGGCACAAGTATAAATAACTTGTACAGTCAATACTTCCTGGCAAGCCCGGACGTATCTAGTATCCGCAGAAGTTATATTAGTCGAGAGACACCCAATATTTCCGGACAGGACCGGACGTATTTGATACCGCGGAAGTAAAATAGAGTCGAACTAACACCCGATACTTCCTGACCAGGCCGGGCGTAACTAACACCAAAGAAAGCCGCCGGTCCAATTAGGAAGAAATAACTAAGTAGGTCAACCAATAGAAAAACGGGCACGTTCCATCCTTCGACCAATGGGAAGGAAGACAACTCGTGGTGTTAAATCGAAAAGCAAGAATAGTCAGTAGTGATTTGGCTTCCAACAAGGTGACATCTGCTCTAGACCTCTCTCCCTCCGCTCATCCCACAGCTAAGTACAATCACCGCCATGTGATCAGATAATTAACAATCAAAACCCGCTCCGCTCTTCTCAAGCTTTCTTTCCTCCAACCCAGTTGCCTTTTATTTTCAAACCCCATCACGTGTCCTGATTATTCCTAACTGTATGCTTCAACTTCCACTCAAACGACTGCGTTTCAACCAATCCTCACCATTCAAATCAAACAACAAGAAATTCCGCAACGATATTGTCACATAAATCAATTATTAAAACTATATATTCAAATTATTCTACTTAGCTCACGAACAGCGCCCTCTATCAAAGATTAGATTAAATTATGCTGATGCAAACAAATAGATAATGCTAATAACAAACAATTATAATAAAAAAACTTATCTAAATATATATCACTCGGGTAGATATGCACACGGGTCAATCCCGGGGCGAAGCCCGGGTCACCCTTCTAGTAACATATATATATAACATAAAGTTACGGTATTCATGTACCAAAAGAGGCACCTCTCCCTTTAAAAAATGCTTTAAAGTTAGGCATTTTATCCATCACCCCAGTACAGAACGTTATGGTAGTGTTGTGGTTCATTCTTCATTACCAAATTTACGTTATGTACTGGGGTGATGGATAAAATGAATTTTAAAGGGAGAGGTGCCTTTTATATATAGTATTAACTCGTAATGGCTATCTTGTAATTCTACCCACACCCTCTGGGGAAATTTCATAGGAATTTAATTAAAAGCCATATAGATTTTCACATATATACCATTTAAAAGTCTAGAAAAATGTCATCTGGAAACTTTAATCAATCAACCACCACCAAGAGTCATTAGTTCAGCTCTTTTACCGACAGGGGGCATCACTGGCAGGATGATGGTAAATATATTTTATTGGTTATTCTTCTCCTGCCAATTTTTTAACCATTGAATAACTCAATCAAACATTACTAAATACAAGGTATGTCCCATAAGTTCCCGGACTGGGTCCATTAAAAAAATGTTAGATATTATTTAAAAAATTTATTAAAACTTTTCAAAGTAATCCCCCCTTGCTTCAACGCACCAGCGCCATCGTTTCTCCCAATTGTCGAAACAGTTTTTATAAGCCTCTTTTGGAATGTTCTTCAATGCTAACGGCGATTTTTCTATTATGTCATCCCTGGTGTCAAAATGTCTTCCTTTTAGAACTGCTTTAAGTTTGGGGAACAGGAAAAGGTCATTTAGTGCGATGTCTGGGGAATAGGGTGGTTGAGGTAGGATTTGTGTCCCGTTTTTAGCCAAAAAAGCTCGTCATCAAGTGCGCTGTGTGAGGGCGGGCATTGTCATAGTGTAGGATCCAGTCACCATTAGTCCATTCTTCTGGCCTTTTTTTCGAATCGCTTCCCTTAGACGGCGAAGAATGCCCAAATACATTTCCTTAATAACTGTTTGGCCTGCAGGAAGATACTCGTGATGAACAATGCCCTTGATATCCAAAAAAGCGACCAGCAACACCTTGTTTCTGGATTTCAATATCCTGGATTTTTTGGGTCTAGGCTCACCCTGACCTCTCCACTCGGCAGATTGACGCTTGGTTTCAGGGTCATAGCCATAGACCCATGTCTCGTCGCCTGTGATTATCTTGTCTTTCCATTCCGGATCCGTTCTTGTAATTTCCAACATGTTCTCACAGGTTGCAAGCCGACACAGTTTTTGCTCATTAGTGAGGAATCTTGGAATGAATTTTGCAGGAGTCTTTTTGAGCTTCAAATCTTAGGTTACGATCCTTCCAATCGTTGTTTTAGAGATGCCTGTACCTTGCTCTAGCTCCAGCAAAGTGGTTCGAGGATTTTCTTTTATCAAATCGGTGATTTTTGCACATTTTCATCAGTCCTTTGAAATTTTGGGCGTCCTTGACGAGGAGCATCTTCAATGGAAATTCTGCCAGCTTTAAATCTAGAATGCCATCCAAAAACAGTTGTTCTCTTTGGGGCGTCATTGGGGATTTCTTTATTAAGCATTTCAAAAGTTTCGGTTGCTGATATTTGAAGTTACACACAAAATTCTATGCAAATCCTCTGCTTCAATTTTTGTTCCATCGTAAAATCGCCGCAGCGCTAGGTGTAACCTTTAAATAAATTAGAATGACCTTGGCGCGCGCACTCGTACCGCCTCGGTATTGGTACCACCGTGTTGTCAGATATTTTTTCTATAATAAAAAGTCAAATTTATTTACATTTTTCATTTATTTATTTTTTTATGGACCCAGTCCGGGAACTTATGGGACATACCTTGTATAATTTATAATACAATATAATGCGGCTTATATTTGTAAAACGACATTTGAAAATTAACCCGCATGTGTTTCTTTTTGAACGAAAAATAGAAATCCATTTTAAGGAGAAATAACGATTATTTCTAACCTTATGGATGAAGTATGAAAGGATGAATTGTGAAGAGTAATGATAAACGGAAAAATAAAGTGTCCAGGGATGGTAACCTAGTGGACATGGCATCTGCCCGGTAAGCGGAACACTGTGGGTTCGATTCCCATCCCTGGAAACTTAATTTTTCCGTTTATCATTACTCTTCACAATTCATCCTTTCATACCTCATCCCTAAGGTGAGAAATAATCGTTTTTTCTCCTTAAAATGGATTTCGATTTTTCGTTCAAAAAGAAACACATGCGGGATAATTTTCAAATGTCGTTTTACATTACTAAATATGTTTTAAGTAAGTTATATGGAAGCTGTGTATATCTATTGATCTTGTAGGAAGGATGATCGGGGCAGGAGGGGCTCTCTCATTGGTGGATACGACTTTCGAGCATGGCGCTTTATCCACCAATAGAGCATCGTTCAAAGAACTGCCCTCTTTTTTTTGTACTATTTGTAAAGATGGGCTGAGACAAGAATGGAGAAATATTGAGCAGATTGCGAGAGGAACGAGGTGTGATGATCATCATCAGAAAACTACAGAAATATTCGGGTAAATATGTAAATTAGGATAAAGAGAAATGGTTTGATGAAGAAGACGGTTGTGGAGGGTGAAAGAGAAGAGAACGGTAGAAACAACTGGAATAATAGAGAATGGAAGTTATGAAGATATAAATAGAAGAACTAAAGATAGATAAACTGTAGAAATCTGTTACCGGTTGGCAATTTGTTTTTGAAGAGACAATACCCTATACAGTTCCATCCATATTTTATAGTCACTCAATTTGTCACATCACACAGAAAATTCCAGAAATACTTACATAAATCTATCAGAAACACCAAATTGTTCCTGCGGAGAAACTGAACAAACTTCACCTTATCTATGACTGTCCGAACTTTACAGAAGTGAGACATCGTTTGTTCCCTGATCTAAATGATTTAACTCTCTTACATCTTTATATATATTTTATGAACTCTGTCGATTTTTACATGTAAATTTGTAAATATTTAATTCTAAGTTCTGATTTGTTGTTTTGTTTCCTCTGTATTAGACGCAAATATTTCAATATCGCGCCTGGTTGATTAATAAATTTATTTTAAAAAAGAAACAATATAGCTACATCAACACTTCTATTATTTCCTGAGGTTTCGATAACCCCATGTCTTTCTTCTTCAGGGGAATTCCCCCACTGAGGAAGGTGACAGTAAGTCGCCGAAAGCTAGGAAATAAATGACTTAATAACTGTTGATGTATGTATACTCATGGAGACAAAACTTAAGGAAGTTGTACCATGTATATCGGGACAATAACTCTGAAAGATATTACAGTGACCTTTATTGAAGACACACTAGATAACCAATATACACTCATGGACAAAACTTAAGGAAGTTGTACCTTTCAGCATGTATATCTGGGAAATAACTCTGAAAGATATTACAGTGACCTTTATTGAAGACACACTAGATAACCAATATACACTCATGGACAAAACTTAAGGAAGTTGTACCTTTCAGCATGTATATCTGGGCAATAACTCTGAAAGATATTACAGTGACCTTTATTGAAGACACACTAGATAACCAATATACACTCATGGACAAAACTTAAGGAAGTTGTACCTTTCAGCATGTATATCGGGATTCAGACAATAACTCTGAAAGATATTACAGTGACCTTTATTGAAGACAACCAAGTGTAAACAACCTCTGTCTCCTTCAAAAAAAGAAATAGACGACCGGTGACATTAAATACTTTCCACTTAAATTTTGTCCACATGAGTGTATATACTATTTTATACAATAAGATATTATTGTAAAGATAGAGGCTGCCTGTAAAACGACATTTAGCAATTATCCCGCATGTGTTTCTTTTGAACGAAAAATCGAAATTTTTTAAAAGAAGAAATAACGCTTATTTCTAATCTTAGGGATGAAGTATGAAAGGATGAATTGTGAAGAGTAATGATAAACGGAAAAATAAAGTGTCCAGGGATGGGAATTGAACTCACAGTGTTCCGCTTACCGGGCAGATGCCATGTCCACTAGGCTACCCTGGATATATTTTTCCGTTCGTAAATATTGTATAAAGTAATTTGTAATATAATATAATGCGGCTTATGATTGTAAAACGACATTCAGCAATTATTCATAGTACTTCAAATTAAAGATACTTGTCGAAACGTCGAGACAATAAAAGATTTACTGGTCGAAGTAGCTTTAATTTGAAGAATAAGATACTAGGTAAGTATGGCGCTACTGAAGATCAGGACCTGATAAAGAAGTAACGGCAAACTGAAAAATCAAAAGATACGATATTATTGCGTGAGATTGTAAGGCAAGCAATAAACTTCGCATGTTTAAATTGCCGTTAACTCCTCTATCACATATAATTCATTATCTTCAAATTATCTCACGGTAGTATCTCCTCCTCTTTTAAAATATTTAAATATTTCTGGTTTAAGTTATATTTAAAGACAAAATTCTTTTTTTTTTTAAATATACATAAGGAGGTCCCTAATTAATTATTAATTACTTAACAATTAACACTTTAAATGAATAAAAAGTCTGTGCTTACCCTAATAACTCTTTAGTATTTAATTCCCGATATTTTGGAAGATATTCGTCTGTTTAAACTACCACCGTGATAAAACAGACGATAGGTTTTTGGAAATTTCAACAAAAAATTCCATTTATACTTTGTGTCGTCTGCTAACAACGCCAGAATGGAACGAGTTGATGAAGCAGAATGTATAAAACTTAACGATGCTAAAAATAAACTCCAACTAAAACATCTGTCTATAAAAATAACTATTTGTATGTTTTATTAATTAATTTCATATTTCATTTTACTAGATTTCTCAAATCCGATTATGATTTATTAAAGAAAGTTGGAAAATTTGTATTTTTTTATATAAAAACTTTTAATGCGAAAATAAAAAAAGGGACTAATGAAAAGCTTATATATATATAACTTCATCCAAATATATTTTATATAGAACATGTTTTTTAATTTCTAAAGCAGACGAATTTTAAAAATACACGCAAAATGAATTCATAAAAAAAATACCTTCGGGGGTTTGAGGGGGTTATTTATTTATTCAATTAGCTATGTAGTTTGTATAAAAAGATTTTAAAAAAAGCCGCCATTGTTCGCGCAGTATATATTCCAAGTAAATTCTTGCCAGACGATTCCATTGAAATACTCGTCAGGTATTATAAACGCCGTGTTGCCAGATAGATATATAAAAAAATGAATAATGTAATATGGAAATATGTAAATTTTATTTCTATCTGTGTTATATTAATCTATATTTTTACACATCGCTGTTTCTATATATCGCAGATTTCTATCGCGGTGTGAAATTATTATCAAAACTGAATCTTCTGCTTTATTTATTTCGTACCATTATTTGAAAGACGATTTCTATATAAATAAAATGCAGGCGATATTTTAAAATATAAATATTTATATACAACAATTATAAGATTAAAGCCATATAGATTTTACTTGCGCGCTTCAAATTCTTTTTTTCTATGAAAAATAGACACTTCGGCCAGTTAGAGTTTTTTATTTTTCTCAACGTTTCGACAAATATCTTTTGTCTTCGTCAGGAGAAATAAATAAAAATAAATCATTTGGCAAGGCGTTAAAAATAGAACAATTTTTAACGCCTTGCCAAACGCTTTATTTTTATTTACTTCTCCTGACGAAGACAAAAGATTTTTGTCGAAACATTGAGAAAAATAAAAAACTCTAACTGGCCGAAGTGTCTATTTTTTATAGAACTATGAATGCCGACCAGGCAGCCTCTATCTTTACGATAAGATTCTTTTGTTGCGTCGTAAAGTGAAAAGAAGAACTTCGGGACAATACCCATCCGTAGTCAGTACCTACTCAATGGACAGACTGAAGAAGAGAGGTCGGTGGACACCAGTGGTAGAAACCGTCGACAGCCACGATCCAGGATGGAATCCCGAATTGCTCCAATGGCCCCCGATTCTTGCAAAAGTCCAACCCCACCAGTGAGTGTAAGCAACCAAACAAGGTTCTGGCACACTCGTTATTCAAAATTCGAATTTCTTTCTACCTATGTCGACATGAAATACACTTACAGTAAAAACAGTCGCCAACTACCTTCTACCATGTTTATCATAGCCTATACCAGGTGTACTAGGGATAAAATAAAAATACTAAAGATACCCCTCTCGAAAGCCAATTATTTTCGATTATATATTGTAGCGGATGTATGTAAGTTTTTCTTTTATAGCTATTTTTAATGTAAATAATCAAGAATGTATGTCTCGTTAGTTTTTATTTTTAACCAACGTCTCATTTTTTACAAAGTCGTCATGTCAACAATGCTAAGTGATGATGATTATTGGAATAAAGTTCTATGAAAAATTAAATATGAGAATAATAATTTTGAGATGTTTACAGCACGTATCATTTACCCCCGCTTTGATGCATTTATTCACGGAGAATAAATGACTTTAATTGAGAGATGTGATCCTTTATAGGATCTCCTGTGGGATTTCTTGGTGGGTTGTCTTGATCCGTTGTAGAGAGTTCGTAAGTCACTTTAGACAATCTTCTCAAAACTTGAAATTGTCCTTCGTATTTGGGAGCTGTTTTAATTAGCCTCGGATCATTGTAGGGAATTCTTTTAAAAACGAGATCTCCAACTTTAAATTCAATGTCGGGATGCCTTGAATCATGTCTTCTTTTAGAAATATCACGATGATGTTGAGTTCTTTTTATAGCCAGTTTTCTAGCATCTTCTACCGAGGTTGAGGGGTTATCAGCAAATTGTGGCTGCACATTGTAACCAAAAAGTAGAAAAGATGGCGGAAAACCTGTTACGTCATGAGGGGTGTTGTTGTAGTCAGTAATGACCTTGGGCAAAAGTGTGCTCCATTTCACTTTCGGTTTATCAAGCAAGGCCGTTCTTAATTTGGTCATGATTGTTCCGTTAACCTTTTCGCACATTCCATTACTCTGGGGGTGGTATGGTGTGGTGAAAGTTTGTTTGATGTTATGAACTTTCAAACACCTTTTGAATTCCTTGGAATTAAAGTTCTTTTCATTGTCAGTGATAATATGTTTTATGGGTAGCGAGACTTGAAGG